CGGAATGCGTGAATGGTGTATACTTGACTCGTCTCGCCGAAAACCCGTACCATGCCACTGTTGCCTCTATTTACACTACCTTGCGCCTCTGAAAATTTTCACGGGTCCTAAGGATGCTCCTCTAAACACTGAGGAGCATCACCGACCAAGTGGGAACATCACCGGCCAAAGGAAATAGTCACCGACCATTGTTTTAACTATCGGCTAATTGTATTTGGTCGGTCAGCACAATAAGTAGTCGGTCGGCCAAATGTTCCTGCAGAAATCTGTTTTGACAGCAGCAGAGGACAGATAGTGTATGGTATGGGATTTTCAAGCAAATGTGTGCGTGGCCGCACTCCCTATCATGCAATGGACTCAAGGGAACGTGGTTCTCGACCCTCGGGCCATCAATTATGCATTTTGATGCATGATGGCCTAAGAGGCCAAGCTTGCCATTCAATGTAAAAATGCATGCAACAAAAGAGATGAGTGCCTTACACCCTATCATGCTTGAGATCAAGGGCATTGGCAACCGAGGAGTGAGATGTGTTTCGTCACTTTGAGTACGAACACACCTCACCCCTCATGCTTGGTTTGACACCCCAAACCAAGCAATGCAATGCATGTATACAAACATGGCCCAAATGTGCGAAATGACTAAGGCACAAAACATGCCAAATGCAATGTAACCTATGCATGCAAATGTAATGTATTAAGCATGCGAGATGCAATGCAATGCAACCTATCATGTAATGCAAACATGGTATATTGCAAGCATGCAACTAGAGGCAGTAAATCAAACATACTACTATACACAAGGATGGACTTAGACTGAAATGGGAGGCCTCAGCCACACCCCAAAACAGTGGCCAAAAGAGCCAAAAATGGCACAAATTATGCATGCAAGCATGCACACACCAAGGCCTATCATCTAATCATGGAAGAGGACAACTCTAAGCATACTTAAAGGCAATATGCTTGGACATTAAACACTCATGTTAAACTCTGAAGAGCATGCAAAAGATGACACCAAGACATGCTAGGGAATGGATGCAAAATAGAAGGTATTCAAGGCCACAAAAGAGAGCATTGCTCAACACCAACCCCAAGCAAACATGGCATGAACTAAGCAACCCAAAACAGAGTTTTTATGCATCAAAATATGCCCCAAAACCCACTGATATGGCAGCCCTAAAGACTTAAATACATAAGCATGCACAATGCTCATTTCAAGGCACAAAAGGACACCTCTTCAAGGCATGAAAAGGGTGATGGATGCACGCATAGGAACATGGATTAGGGACTGACATGGCATGTGAAATGACTCCGAATCATTGAAACAACCCAACTAAAACATGCTCATAACTCACACCCTCAAGGCTAACAAGCCAAAATGCAAAGAGGCTATTCCAAACATGGAAAATATGATCAAAACAGCACCCCACAGACCTCAAGCATGGTAAGACATAGCAAAGAACTTCACAAAGTTAGGCCAAAATATGAGAGCATGGTAGGCTAGATGCAAGATGCACTTCTAGGCAAAATAGAGGAATACAAGGCAAGTATATTAGGCATGAAAGGGGTCATTAATCCGACCAAAAACAGAGGCATATTGTGACCTAATAACATCCAAAAACCTCTGAAATGGTACCAAAGACAAATACTCATGCATGCTACCATTAAGAGCCAAAAATGCAAAAGAAAGAGAGACAAAGGGAGAAGGGTGTCCCTCCCCTATGCAAGACCTCAAAACTCCTTCTTCACCACTGAAAATCCACTGGATTTCAGTGATGAGAAGGTCAATACACAAGAAGTTCCAAAACTTAACAAAGAGAGTACAAAAAGGGCCAAATAAGGCCTAAGAGGGGGAGATCGACTCCAAACAACAAAATGACCTTAATGAAGTATCTTAAGTATGCAAATACAAGACTTTTTTCAGTTAACACGAAGCTCAAATCAGTATGCAAAGCAGGTCAAAAGCTAGTGCAAGATTGGGAAATCTAAAGCAAAAGTGTTACCCTTGAAGAACACCTCAAGAACAGCAAGTCCAACCACCTTCTTCTGATCCAAACCAGCTCAAAACCTCAAGAATAAACCCTCAACACCTCCCAAAGTCGAAGTATGGTGTAATAGTGTGTGTTTTAGTGCAAAAGTAAGAACAAATCACCCTTTTAGGCCTTCAAACACACACAAATGAAGAGAGAGAGGGAGATATAGAGAGAGAAGATGTATGTATCAGAATATATATGTTCTAGGTCTGATTTTGCTGAACCAAAACAAATGAGAGGGGAGGTCTCCTTATATAAACAAGGCAAAGGCTTGAAGCTTCTTAGAGAAGCTAAGTGAAAGGGTCAAAGGGACCAAGCTTCTAAGAGAAGCTATCCCAAAGGTCCAAGCTTCTTGAGGAAGCTAAGACAAAGGGTCAAGCTTCCTCAAGAAGCTTGAGCAAAGGGTGCAATCTTCTAGAAGAAGTTTGGATCAAAAAGGGTGCAAAGGGGCCAAAACAGCCACACACGTGTGTGGGGGTAAGGTCTGTGCATTCCAACTGGCACAGCTGGCATGCACCACGCCTGAAAAAGGCAAAAAGGTGGTACCGGCCAGAAAAGGAGGCCATCGGCCAAACAGGTGGTCGGCCGGCCACACAAAGTGCCGACCGGCCAGTGGACTATTTCACCAATGGCCGGTAGCCTCAAAACACGGCCGGTGGCCTCAAGCCATGGCCGGTGGGTATCAGGGGTAGCTAGCAAGCTACTCTCTACCCTCAGGTGCAAAAACAAACAAGTCGTTGGTGTAAAACCAAGCATAGAACAAGCAAGTCGAGAAATCCTGAGGCAAGGCGCGTAGTCAAGACCTCCGGGAACTCAAAACAAACACGAACATGGATGATCACCGAGGGTTCAAGCGGTGACGTCCAAGTCTTGAGGATGGTCAAAAATGGGGTGTCTACAGTTGTAAATAAGGAAATACCCCCCATTTAGATTCAAAGAAAAATACAAAAAATCAAAATCCAATTAAATCAAAAAGTGGTTTTTCCAATTCCAGTACAAAATAATTTTCTGACTTAAATTTTGACGTTTGACATTGAAGCAAAGTGATTAATACCTCATAAAAAAATATCATAAAATCAATTTAGACTATTTAATATATAATGAACAATTACCGCAAAAAATTACTTCAAAAATCGTAAGTTTTTAAATATCTAACTTTTACACTTAGAAAATTTTCAAGCTAAGCCCAATTTTTGACAAAAAAACTTTTTTAATACAACCATCTTTATATGAAAAAGAATAAGTGTCGGATTTCAACCCGAGCTGTTACAATGGTCCAAACCACTCAAAACAACAAAGTCACTCCGGACGACCACATGTCCCAACTAAAAATAAAAGGGTCAGGTTTTCTGACCCGACCCACTACATCTTGGATGACACAAACTATGTTCTATAGGCTCAAGCCATGTCCAGCTTTCTCAAAGGCCAAAAGTTATGGCACATTGTCACACTAGTGATGTCACCAAACACACTAAAGTGACAAGATGAACAACATGAGCAATATTAGGTCGAATAACTGTAAGATACACTAGACAACCAACTACTTGTGGATAAAGCGTGGCATCCGAAAGAGGATATCCATTTGGAGGGGTGAGACAAGCATTTATCTCAAGAGGTGTGGAGAATGAATGTTTGTCCTTGTATGCTTATCCTTTTGGCTCTTGAGATATCTTCGGACTCTAGTGTTTATTATCTCTGTTAAACCAAATATGCATCTGATTACTTAGTCATGCCGAACTCATTAATAGCAAGACTGTCTCCACACCTCTTCAGATGAATGCTCATCTCACCCATCTAGATGTCATTCCTCTTTCTGATGTCACGCTTTATCGACAGTTAGTTGGTATTCTAGTCTATCTTGCAGTTACCTGACTTGATATAGCCTATGTTGTTTATCTTGTTAGTCAATTCTTGTTTGTTCTAAGCTTCATTCATTATGTTGTTGTTCTTCGTATTCTTCAACATGTTAAAGGCACTCTATTTCATGGTCTTTATTATTCTGTTTGTCCCACCTTGGAGCTGCATGCCTACTCTGATGCAAATTGGGTAGGTGACCCCACTAATCGATGCTCCACTACTGAATATTGATTCTTTCTTGATGGCTCACTGATTTCCTAGCACAACAAGAAACAAACTGTTACTTTTTGCTCTGATACTAAGGCCAAATATCGTGCTCTTGCAAACTCTACACAAGAACTATTGTGGTTTCGATGGTTACTCGAATATATGGGGATTCCTCACTCTTTAGCTACTATACTTCTTGTGACAATCATAGTGCTCAAATTACTCACAACGATGTTTTTCATTACTGTACCAAACACATTAAAATTGATTTTCATTTTGTGCGTGAACATGTTGTTTGTGGTACTATCTACCTTCAATCTGTTTCTTCTATCAGTCAGACTACTAACATCTTCACCAAGACACATGCACCTAGGAAACTTTTATGTTTTACTTTCCAAACTCAAGTTGGTGTCTGTGCCTACATTACACAGACTCTTTGTTTTTAGAGAGGTGCCCGTGTCAACATGACACAACACGGGTATGGGTGCGGAATATGGCTGGGATACAGCTAAATACAAATGGATACGGCTGGGATGAGAGACAATGAAGGATTGTTGAGTTACTTACAAGACACAAGATGGTGAGAGTCGACCGGTGATGTCGATGGCGATGGCGACAGTGACAGTTCATAACCCATTGTCCTGCACTCGACCCACACTCTCTTGTTGAGAAAAGCCATTGGTGAAGCGAGATTAGAGCCGGGATGGTGCCGAGAAAAGCCATCAATGACGCGATGGTGCTGAGAAAAGCCATGTGGACTGTTCTCTAATGAGAGAGCTTTTTATTATTATTTTCTGTTGAAATATGCTAGAAACCCCAAATGTTTTACCAACATTTCTATCAAATTATAGCATAACTCTTTTCTTTTAGATTGGATGTGAGAGAGAGAGAGAGAGAGAGAGTTCCTAATTGCCAAAACATGTATTGGGAGTTCGCTATTTTTATTAATTGAAAGACTGGTTAAACAAATGTCTACAACACAGTTCTAAATACATTTACTAGGAACTTCAATTCTTTTGATAGCACCAAATCCATGAGTTATGTGTGTCAATGTACTCATAAACAAGATAGATTACAAGTCTCTTCAACATACCAAAATCCGCGGAAACTAGGAAGTTTACAGTCCAACTAGAAATTCAGATGATTATTGCAAAGTCCCACCTCATTCTGAAACTTTCACAATCATTTTCCTCAGTAACTGAACTCTATTGTCCAGACAAACAGCATGTTCAAATGCAACAGACTGCAAAATGATTCCACTTCTCTGATGACTGGATTCCCTTCACAACCTGCATATACAAGTGTACATTCAGTTTTTCACTTAACAAACAATTTCTCAAATTTATCACATAAATGACAGGTCAAGTAAAAGGAATTGTAAATCATATACACTCACAAACTAGTCTACTAGGAATAGTTGTCTTCACCGCTGCCAACATCTGGAGTATGAAATCCTCATTTGCTGCCTAACACTGCCATTGCAAATTACACCCAAGTTTAATGGACCTCAGGCAATTTAAACACATAAAGTCCTCTTCTTGAAAGAGAGAACAAAACTTCTAAGATGACAGAGAAGTAGAAATTTTGCATGATTAGTATAATCTATAAGAAAGTTAATATGACCACTTCTACATTGATTAATTAAATCTTATCAGTAGTGAATGCACTGTTAATTGGCAAACAAAAGTAAAAGGGTTTGTCTCTCTAACGGCACCTCAAAAACCTTAGAGAAAACAAAGCAAAAAATTGTTAACTTGAGAGAAAATGTTGAACATAAAATGTATTTTGATGACCCTCTATAGAATTTTGTCTTATGAACAGCTTCTTCACTGCTTTTTGTTAGTATAGTTATAACAGTGTAATTGGTTATTAGAATGGTAATGCCCACTTGGTCTATCCTTTCACACCTTTTGTCTGATTTTTCAGAAGCACTGTATGAACAGTTGGATATAGTGTGTCCAAAATCTCAATCCTCATGCAACACACAAGTCACTGAACATATTTACAGAAACTCACTTTTTTCATCCTCAGGAAATGAGACTTCTTGTCGAAAATAGAACTTCATGAAGAAAGCACAAACCTGGCTAGACTTCTGGTTCATTCAGCTACTGGCATCAGCATTGTGCATCATTTGTGAGTTCGTGTTCTGTATCAAGTCCTTCGAGTTTGCCAAGGGAGCTGAGTTAGGACCTTCCACATTGGCATTCACTCCCATGGCTGAATTTATAGGAGGCCGAGGCCCTCCTGACAAAGGCGCCAACTGTCGACGTGGTGCTGACATGGAAAATCCTTGACTAGGATGCCCAAAAATGTGAAGGTTAGATCCGGCCATCCCTTGGGAATTAGTGGGCCCTGAATAGGGTGGGGGGCGTGGGGTAGAGAAAAGTGTCCCTTGCGTAGGGGGGACCTGAATCATAGAGCATGCGGGAGATCCACCATTCATGTCGAGCATACCCATCCCAATACCCATCCTCATTCCCATTCCAACAGCCATGGGTGAGAAACATGCCATTTGAGCTGCGTGTACATGTTGCATTCCTGTTGGTAACATCATCGGCGGCATGTACAACCCAGTTCCCATAGACATAATCTGCAGCAAGATGGTCAGTTAAATTCTCAAAAGAAGAAAGAAAAAAAAAAAAGGATAATAAATTAGTCAAAAGACGAGAAATTTAACCTGTACTTGAAGTTGAAGTGTCTTCAAATACTCGATTGCTTCGTCAAGCATTGAAGCTTTGTCCACCTTATAATGACAAAATGCAAAGGTCAGCCAAACGTACATTCTTTCTTCTTTTTTAATAAAATCTCTTGTTGCCGATCAAAATAAATAAAATAAAAAATCAATAATATATTTTATTAGACTAGAAAGTGTGGTTTATATATAATATTTAAATAAAATGTAAAAATTATTTCATATATCCAGTTTGGGTTTGGGGAAATCCCGACTCATTTGAGGCAGGTCCACACAACCAGGCCGAAATGGCCATCTCCAACCTATTCTATCATTTATTGATTTTTAAATTCACAGTTCATATAAAAGTGTAATCTCAGGAATCAGTTCCACATTCTGAGGAACCAAAGTTCAGACAGAAAGTGAACGTAGAAGCTCATGCATATTAAATCTTCTATAGAATTGACTTCATTTTCATGAGACCAAACTAAGCCAAAGTTAATATTTTAAACCTCTAGTTCAATGAATCCATTATACAAATTGCATAGATTACCAACCAATGTATCACGGATTTTAAGACAATTGTTTACCTTGTTGCAGTTGGGTATGAGTTCTTGCAACGCACGCATCTTTTCATTAATCCTATCTCTTCGCCTCTGTTTGTAAACACCAAAACTAAGTACCAACATAGATCTCAAAAACTAAAATAAAATAAAATAAAAATAAGCTCAATATCCACATCATTATCAGTCTTTTGGGTGGATTTGCTCACCCTTTCAGATAAATTATGCACTTCTGCTGCTCGACCTCTTTTCGAAGTTGTACCTCCTCGAGCAGGCGCTGCTTTTCTTACACCTACGGATTCTTCTTCAACATCCTGCATAAGTTTGTCCTTGTAAAAAAAACAAATGAATTGAAAGATCTGCAAATGGAATAGGATAATCTGATATTTCAACATACTTCACTGCGGCCTTCAGAGTCATCATTCTCACTACATTTTCGCTTCAAATTATGCGTCTCATTAGAAGCTCTCTCTGCGCTATTGCCAGAACACGCAGATGAAGAAGCAACAACGGGCTCCGTAGTCTTTTCACCACGAACTTGATTTGGCAACTCGACATTCTTTGCAGCATCTTCTCGACAAACAGGATTAGATTGTTCAGCAGTACGTGACTCCTCAAGTCGCTTAGCCATTACTGGTTCTGAATCTAAATTAGGTTGGCTATGAGTGCCCATTTCCTTCCTTAAACCACTACTAAAATCAAAAAGTGCGGATTGGGCAAAATACCCACTACATGGGTCATTACCCTTATTCTTACCTCCCATTGGTTCTACATTCGATGTACCTGGACTGGTGATAGCATCAATGGTTTGAAGATTAGCTCGGACAAGAGTGGAAGGTCTAGAGAAATGAGGGAAGTTCATAAAACTGGAGCTAGTGTTAGGCCTTCTCGACAAATTAGGTTGCACTATGATAGCATCACGCTTGTTATTGCAGCTGGTGTTGCTAATAATACCCGAAACTTTTGATCTAAGAGATGGAATTGAAGTTTGATTTTCCTGGAATAACCATGGATCATGGAATTGACCACTCCTTGCTCTTGAAGACTCTTCAATTTCTGAAGAACGAACCTCGGATGCATTAGCTTGCTCTAAACTTAAGTCATTGCCTAAAGAAACACTATGAGAACCCCTAATTGACTGGTTACAACTATTCTCATTTACAGTAACACTAGATAATTCAGGCAATAATTCGGAGTAGTAATCGTGTTGTAGAGAATCACTAATGGGAAAGTTCAACCAAGGCACCGTGTCATCATCTTGGCCCAATCCCATCTCCCCAGACGGTGACTCTGTAGTAAAATAATTCAAAACAGAATCCATTTTTACTAGATCTTTATCTTGAAGTTTCGGTGTTTGAGATTGCAAATTATTGGTAGTAGAGCTTCTCCTAGCTCTACTGGACTGGCCTTGCATCATGATCTGACCATTTTCCCACACTAATTCAACAAACTCATTATGAGGTCTGCATTCAAACCCATCAACAATTTTTAAAAAAACAATAATATAGTGAAAGACAATTCAAGATAAAGGGTCTCAATTAGATGAATACAACAATAGAGACCTAAAGTGTTCTAAAATCAAGATATATCAAACTTACACATGAGATAGATCAGTCAAACAAGTGGTTGTTTTCTGTTGTGCAGATTCAAGCTTCCCACTAGCCATTCCATAAAACTCTGAGAAAGGCATGCTGAAGAGAGCTTGTGGAAAACACTACCAAAGAACTCAAAACTGCCAAAGTAGTGTAAAATCAGAAAAACACAAACCAACTTTGAAGAAACATCTAATAATATATATAAATAAATTGGACTGGAAAAAATTTATTTACTGTTGTCTTAATCAGTATATATGTAATCAAAAAACATCAGTAGCAATATAAAATTAGTGCAAGTAATAAAAACAATAATTAACAGTCAAAACCAATTCTTTAATGGCCCAGATACTAAAAAATTATCAAACTCAGGTCTTTTGAGTTAAAAATGAATATTTTTATTGCAAATTCAATCATTAGAATTGAACCCAGATAAGGTTTTCTAAATCAGCCAATAATCTCAAATAACACCCAATTTTGTGTCGATTAATTTCTTTATAATGATGATGAATTCAAAGAGCAAGTAAAAAAAAGAAAACAGACCCACCTCTTCAAATCAGATCAAAGTTCAAGTCCAAACCGAGGATTTCCAAGATCAGTTCACACTACCCACTAACTTCCCGTCAAAATAATCACAAAAGATGCAAAAAAAAATTTATTTTTTTGTGAAAATCTGAGTCCTCCCACTCATTTCTCAAGCTACAAAGACTATTTTTTGTTTCTGGGCAATGATAAGTTCTCGAACCCACCAACATAAGCTAATCCATATGCATTAAATAGCTTTCTCAGAGCTGCCTATGATCTTCATTAAACAGTTCTCTTTGAGCACCAAGAAACTGAACTAAAGTTGTTAAACATGTATATATTATACAGAGAGAGAAACTACTTGAAAGAGGTAGTGAAAGGCTTGCGATTTGCAAAAATTGCAGGTGACCCAGGTAAGAAGGCAAACACGATGCTATATTCAAAAACAGTGGAGTGTGGGTTTATATAGCTCTTAACCATAGTTAAAGTGGACTTAACCACAGTTTACTTCCAAGCTATATGTGTATTTTGTGAAAAATTTTGCAGCAGTGTTACATTCATATAAAATTCTTCTCTCAAATTTTTCAAATGACTTGACAAGGTTAAGTAGAAAGATTTGAAAGAAGATATAAGGGCATGAGTATGGGTTATTAATTTATGTTTTTCTTATCATTTGAGAGATTTGTGGGAAAAAAAAATTATATGGATGAAGCATTTTCAAAATCTTATTTACACACTACAAAATTTTGTTAGACTACAAAGTGGTTCATTTTTAAATTTTTTTGATCAATAGGCTCAAATTCTATTATTTTCGGACTAAAATGACAATTACAATTTTAAAAGTTATTTTATTTCTATTTATCTATTTATATGTTCACTGTTCATCTATTTATTTATATCATTTATATGTTCATGTGTCATTTCATTATTTGTTCATGTGTTACCTAATCTACCTATTTATCCACACCACCATTATTGCCGGCCACACCATGAGCCGTAGCCTGTGACTTTTCCAGTGGTCCGGCGGCAGTCCAGCAATGAGGGTGCAGTTGAAAAAAAAAAGATTCTTTAAAAAAAGAATTTGTCTTTCTTACAAAATAATTTTATTAAACATATATTTATCACCAAAAAAGATTAAACTTTAGATCAAACAACACATGACCCCATAGGTGTAGGCTTTTCACCAATTATCTCATTTTTTAAGGGAGAATTACACTGACATGGTATCAATGAAAGCTATTTACAAAACAATGGAAAACATTATAAATATTAAAAACTAAAAATATAAATTTTTTTGTTTTTTATAAATAATTTTTTACTGCTCTATTGATATGTTATTGTCCCTTTTTTTTAATTGACACTATTTTTTAGTTTAAATATCAATTATTGAACAAAAATTTATTATTCAGGTAAATAACTAAACATCATCCACCAAAAGGATATCCAAAATTCAACATTAACAAGTGAGCTAGGTTCAGATGTTGATATTCGAATAATTAATTTTTACTTTGTTGATATTTAAATAATTAATTTATATTCAATAATTGATATTTAAAAGGATAACAATTGTGTCAAAAAAAGAAAAGAAAAAGTGGTATGCAAATAATTGCACCTTTGTGACTTGCATTTGCATCAGAGTGTTCTTTGAAGCCAAAACCTAACATGTGGTTTGCTCCTCTCCATATGGGATATGCTTCTACTTTATCCACACCACCATTATTGCCGGCCACACCATGAGCCATAGCCTGTGACTTTTCCAGTGGTCCGGCGGCAGTCCAGCAATGTGGGTGCAGTTGAAAAAAAAAAAGATTCTTTAAAAAAAGAATTTGTCTTTCTTACAAAATAATTTTATTAAACATATATTTATCACCAAAAAAGATTAAACTTTAGATCAAACAACACATGACCCCATAGGTGTAGGCTTTTCACCAATTATCTCATTTTTTAAGGGAGAATTACACTGACATGGTATCAATGAAAGCTATTTACAAAACAATGGAAAACATTATAAATATTAAAAACTAAAAATATAAATTTTTATTTTTTATAAATAATTTTTTACTGCTCTATTGATATGTTATTGTCCCTTTTTTTAATTGAAACTATTTTTTCATTTAAATATCAATTATTGAACAAAAATTTATTATTCAGGTAAATAACTAAACATCATCCACCAAAAGGATATCCAAAATTCAGCATTAACAAGTGAGCTAGGTGTTCAGATGTTGATATTCGAATAATTAATTTTTACTTTGTTGATATTTAAATAATTAATTTATATTCAATAATTGATATTTAAAAGGATAACAATTGTGTCAAAAAAAGAAAAGAAAAAGTGGTATGCAAATAATTGCACCTTTGTGACTTGCATTTGCATCAGAGTGTTCTTTGAAGCCAAAACCTAACATGTGGTTTGCTCCTCCATATGGGATATGCTTCTACTTTATTTTTGTATTTTATAAGAGTTTTTGGTGCAATTTTTTGTTCTTTCTTAGAATAATTTAAAAGGTTATTATTAAAATAACAATGTCAAATAATTCTAAAATGTCACCTTTTTTACAACGCTGCTCAAATAGATAAAAAGAGATCTAGGTGAGAAACTTTGCTTGAACTATTTTTGTGAATCCCATAAAAATGATTTGAGTCAAACCATGAATTTGGCTACCAATTAAAGTTGAGATTTTTTTTTTTTTTTAAATGTAGCCGAATTTATAGATTTAACAATGAATGTTGCTATTCATTAGAGATGTTTTTACGAGACAAAAATGACTTAAAAAAATTAAAATTAAAAAAACAAATTGTCAAAAAATTAGAAAGGGAATACTTTTATCATATATTTTTATATTATTAATTTTTAACTTATTACGACTGCATCAAATAAACTTTTGATTTTGTAATGAATGAGCTATAGTATGTTAGACAATAAAGTCTTTGCTTCTAAAAAAATAAAAATAAGATTTTTCTCAAGAAATATGATATGCGGTTGAGATTAATAAATTCAAATTATATATTAATATTTTCAGATAAAATTCTAAATAAATACTGAATTTATAATATTATTGATATTATAATATGATTATATTATATCATTAAAATTTTGGAAGGAGTTTATTTCTAGATTAATGCTTGAAGCCTCGAATTTGAGGCTCCAACTTGTCTCGAAATACTTTTTTTTTTTTTTTGGCGGTGTGTTTGGTTTTTTTTTTCCTTTCTTTTTTGCAAGAGTGGTTATGTGTATTAGACATCTTGCACTAACTCAGCCTGTATGGTTTGATAAAGTCTAACACAACTCACTCACCTTATCAAACTACACAGACTGAGTTTTTTTTTTTTCTATTTGTTAGGCTATGTTGGTTTTTTTATTTCATTTTATTTTATTTGCTGGGCTACGTTGGTTTGGTATTTTTTTTTTTTAAAAGGTGGTTATGTGTAGGGGTGTGTCAAAAAATTAAACATTTCGTACCAACTCATCGTATAAAATTATGTGAAATTAACAAAATTTAACCAGCATCTTAATTAATCAGTCAATTAGGTTGGACTGGTTGAGTGATAAAATTAACTGATCAGTTAGACTGTTGATTAAATTTTGTTAATTTCATATAATTTTATACGATGAATTGATGTGAAATGTCTAATTTTTTTGACATATTCCTATACATAAACCACCCTTAAAAAAATAAACAAATAAATAAATATTACCGAGGAAAATTCGAGACGTGGAATTCGAGGCCTTATTTGTATCATTTAATTGATACATAGGGCTTGAAAATTGAAAATTGCTTTAGAGCTCTAAAAGAGCACCTCTAAACTTAGCATTAAATTATCTTCTTCTGACCACTGTTTTATCTTTTTCTATTTTTTTTTTTTTTTTTAATTGGTTACCAACTCAGTAGAGCTGCTATTAGAGCAGCTCTACTAGAGCTCCCAATCACTGCTGCTTGAAAATTGGAGCTTTTTAGGGGATTAATAAAGTCATTGACTTTACTCATGATGGCTTTTAATAATTTTACTTTACCCTTATTGTTGGAACACTTTGATATATGGTGGGGATGCTTTAATAGTTGTCCTAATAAATTAACAATAATGATGATATTTATATTTTATATTTTATTTATTTAATTTCTCATACTTCTTTTGTGAGGGGATAAAGGACAAAAATAAAATATGAAAAATTAGAATAAAAGTTCAAGGGTTAGTTTGACAATTACATTTTTATTAACTTTTTTTTTTTATGCCTTTTTTATGTTTTTGGTGGACATCCCAAATTTAATGAAATTGTAGAAACTTCTCTTCAGATTTAGTTATAAATTACATTGACTTTTCCTAAGTATAATGAAATTGCTGAAATTTTTCATGAAACCTCCCTTGAGGTTTAGTTTTTTTATTACATATTTCATTTTCTGTTACTTTATCATAAAAAAATGGCAAAATTTTTTGATATCGTCAAATAATCTAATTACATTTTTAATCTTATCTTTGAAAATTGTGTTCAATTACAAAATAAAAAATAAAAAATTATATTGATCTTTTTTTTTTTTCTTTTTATTATGCCTGCAGTTAGTGGTGATTGTGTGTGCCTCCTTTATCCAAAACTTACCTGTTGCCAAATATGTTGTAAATTTGACTTTAAGAGATCATGTACAATCCATTATTGCAAATCATATTTTGGGTCCATTTGGCAAGAGGGTTTGTGACTATTTTAGGCACAAAAATAAAATAGACTATTTTAGGCACAACAAACAAAACATCACATCTAACCCATAATCATTACACTATTCTCTCATAAAAAAAATCAAAAAAATCAAATAGACAAAAAATTATTCACAAACCAAACTTTTTAACCTAAACTATAATAATCAAAACAATCAAAAAAAATAAAAACTAAAAAATCAACTCACTCCCACAAAGGTATTCCATTACCTTTCTTTATACCAAAACTCTGCAACAACGACAACTATATTTTCATACACGTGACACCTCCCCCAATGCACTCCTCTACCGGCCGACCGTAACTATCCATCACCCGACTATAACCCCCACTTTGGTCTGTTTTGGCATCTGATTAGAAGTTAGTTTTTAATTTTTTTTTGCCTTTTAAATTATATCGATTTGTTTGATTTGTATTTCAAAATATAATTCTTTTAAAAGAAAATTAAAATTTTGTTTGGTATAAACTTTTTGTAAATAATTTTTAAAATCACTTTATTTATTCTATACATCAATCAATCACTTTTTCTCTCTCATCTTTCTTTCTCAATCACTTTTTCTTTCACACATTTACTCAATTACAATAAAATATTAAATTATTCAAAATTTCTAAACTCAAAAATTATTTTCAAAATATATAACCAAACAAATCAAAAAAAAATTAATCTCTCTTTCCAAATTTTTTTTAAAAATTTGTCTCAAAACACAAATCAAACACACTCATTATCTTTCTATTTTTTTATACATTCTTTAAAAAAAATTAAAAAATTAAAAAAATTACTTCTAACTTACTTTTCAAAACACTTCTTTCTTTTTTTTTTTAATGATTTTCATCGGGTGAATTTTGTGAGAGTTCTATTTTCTAGGTAATCGGATTGGTCATTAATACATTGATTAGATTTTGTTTTTAATGTTTGTAAAAAAAATTTCCATT